TTCTTTTTCTTTTCAAAAAAAAAAATTTTTAATTTTTTTTTTAAAAATTATGTTATATCTAAGTTTTTAATTTATTGCTGTATTATTATGCATATTATTGTCTTATTTAAATTGGACAAGCCTGAGATTGCACGTTAATATTTTGCATGTTATTTTTATTATCGCCGTATTATTATGCATGTTTTTAATACAATCGCATGAGTTGTGTTTTGAATGTCATCTGACTTAGTTAAGGTTAGAACCTTAGGCTGCATGAATTGTTGTGTTCCTGACTGCTAATCGTTTCTGATTATGCACTCGCTTGATCACCTCACATGTTAGGAGAAAGGTCCTAAAATCAATCCAAATTGCCTGACAAATGTTTTCAGAAATGAACAGGGTAAAATGGTACCGAAAGGGCATTAGTTATCCAACTAGTGTAACCAAGTCCCCGAACTCATTTAATCTCTAGTTCGTAGGAATTGGGTGATTCTCCCATCACCCTATTTGGGTTTCTAATCGACCCACCCCAAATCGATTAGTGGCGACTCCTCGATATAAATCATCTGCATGTTAAGAAACTTAAACCCTAAGTCGCGATATGGTATGGGCTTGGGAGAGCCCGAGTTAAGTCCCAAATCTAGACTTAACACGTACCAGGCGAGCCCCCCTTTTTTGCATGTTGATAAAAAAGGGCTCGGGAGTTCGGTCGCGACAGCAGGAGAGCCAGAAACTTAAGAAGAGGCTATGTCATGTGATCAAAAGAATGACTGAGGAGCTCAAATCATTGCATGAGAATCATACATTTGAATTGGTGAAGTTGCCTATGGGCAAGAGAAAACTCACAAATAAGTGGGTGTATAAGTTGAAGACGGAAGAAAGTAGTTTGTGACCATGATACAAGACTAGGCTTGTTGTGAAGGGTTTTCGTCAAAAGAAAGGAATTGACTTTGAATAGATATTTTCACCGGTTGTAAAAATGCCTTCTATTCGAGTTGTTCTTGGGTTGGCCGCCACCTTGAATTTAGAAATTGAATAACTTGATGTAAAGACGGCTTTTCTTCATGGAGACTTAGAGGAAGAAATATACATGGAGCAACCAGAGGGTTTTATAGTCGAATGCAAGGAGCACCTTGTATGTAAATTGAGAAAAAGTTTGTATGGTCTCAAGCAAGCACCAAGGCAATGGTATATGAAGCTCGAATCATTCATGGAAGATCATGGGTATGGTAAGACCAACTCCGATTCTTGTATCTTTATGAAAAGATTCTCGGATAATGATTTTTTTGTCCTCCTACTCTATGTGGATGATATGAAAAATCAAGAGCTTAAAAAATGAGTTGAGTAAAACTTTTGCAATGAAGGATCTAGGTCCGGCTAAGCAAATACTTGGCATGAAAATTACTCATGATAGGTTGAACAAGAAACTTCGGCTATCTCAAAAGAAGTACACTGACAAGGTGTTGGAAAGATTTGACATGAGCACATGTAAACCGGTAAGTACTCCATTTCCTAGTCATTTCAAGTTAAGTAGTGACGAGTGTCCTACAAGTGAGAAAGAGAAGGAAGAGATGATGAAAATTCCTTATGCATCGGCCGTGGGTGGTTTGATGTATGCCATGGTTTGTACAAGACCAGATATTGTTTATGCAGTTGGTGTTGTGAGTAGATTTCTCCCAAATCCCGGTAAATAGTATTGGGCTGCTGTTAAATGGATTTTGAAGTATCTTAGAAGCACTTCCAGATTCTGCTTGTGTTATAGAAATGGAAAGCCTGAGTTGAGTGGCTATTCAGATGTGGACTATGCTGGTGATATTGATTATCGAAAGTCCACATCGGGTTACATGATGATTTTTGCAGAGGGAGCAGTTTCATGGTAGTCAAGATTGCAAAAATGTGCTACTTTATCTACGATTGAAGCGGAGTATATCGCTATTACCGAAGGAGATAAGGAACTTTTGTGGATGTAGAAATTCCTACAAGAGTTGGGCTTGAAGCAAGAGAAGACCGTTCTATATTGTGATAGCATGAGTGCTATCCATTTCAGCAAAAATTCGGTGTTGCATTCAAGGTCAAAGCATATTGATATGAAGTATCATTGGATCCAAGAAAAATTAGAAGAGAAGCTCTTTCTACTCGAGAAAGTCCATACCGACGACAATGGATCTGACATGATGACCAAAGTCTTGCCCATGGTGAAACTTGATTCGTGTAGAAACAAGACGGGCATGATGGAACTTCTCAAATGAGGCGGAGGGGGAGATTTGTTGGCTGGGTCCGTCTCATTTGTGGGGCCCAGCCAATATGTTAAAAAGAAAAAAAAAAGAAAAGTCAAAAAGTCAAAAAAAGGGGAGAAAAAGGTGCTGCTATCGTGAGTGTGCCCAAGAGAGAGAAAAACAGAGTGAGTCTCACCGAGAGCATGAGAGTGCAGGGAAGAGAAGAAAGAAAAGGGGCGCATCTTCGCAGTCCCGGTTCGAGGGCCAAACGTTGTCGGAATTAGCTCAAATTTTAGTATGTTGTTCGTGAGACCAAGGGCTACTAGTTGATCGGTTTCATTCATTGAGAATCTCCTCCAAACTTTCCATTCGCGGTTAGGGTTTTGCTCCTCTATTTATGTAAATCCACATTTGTGGTGATGGAAATGATGTTATAATGTTGATGTTGTACCTCTAGTGTGTGACTAGAGAAGAACTTTGTGTATCCCACTATTCTTGGTGATTAGTGGAAGTTTTTTTGGGGCGGTCCGTGATTTTTCCCTAATTGAGTTTTCACGTTAAATCTCGGTGTCGTTGTTGCATTTGTCTCCTTATTATTGCAAGGTTGAATTGCTGGAATATTATTGGTTGTTGCTAGGATTAAGTCGATTTTGGTCGATTTAATTATGGGGGAGATATTGATCCTGGATTAGGCTTGGTTCTTGTTGAATTGCTACCCCGATTCTCCCCAACAATCTTCAGGATGTAGTATAGACTTCGAGGGTTGGGGTCACAAAGCTTACGTCAAATATCTCTCCCTGTTAATGTTTCAATTTGTCCATCCTCGTCGTGAATCATGATTGATGTAAAGGTAATGTATAGTGTAAAGTGTATGTGTCTAGCAAAGAAATTCGTTTAACCTGGATATTTGTTTTACATGCTTGTGTACCTATTGACTAAACTAACTTTAACAGAAAATCTAATCTTCCTTAACCATGAGAAAATGAGAAATCATTTTGACTGAATCTTACATGAAATTACTTGTATGCCAAGTGACAGAGCTTTTAGAACGGTTAACACATGTTGTGAGCCCACCAACAGACCTTTGAGAGAAGACTTGTTTCAATGACTTCACCTTGACAAGGGCTATATAAGTTGAGGCATTCCCCACCAACAATAAACTCACTCGCGAGCTAAATTGCAAAATGGAGTGGTATCGGATCCTTGGCCTCCTCCGTTTCCTCTTTTTCTTACATTCCCATCTTTCCTTTGCCTTCCCCCTTTGCCCTCCTGACCAGCGCGATGCTCGCTCAATTTTAAGAATTCCTTCGTCCTTGATAAAAAGACGTCGGGCCCCTATCTTTCCCATTATGAACAGGGAGGATGCTCATGCAATATGGCTTTCGCATGGAACAAGAGCGTAGATTGTTGGTGGTGGAATGGGGTCATTTGCAACACTGTCACCGGTAACGTCATCCGTCTCGATCTTGCTTGCAATTGGTTTCGTGGTACTCTCTATTCCAATGGTTCTCTTCTTCTACCGAAGCTTCAAGTGTTGATTATGTCAAATTGCAACTTGACCAAGTTCCATATTTCTTGAATTCGTTAGAAAGCTTGATAGACTTAGACCTTTCTTTCAATAAGATTAGTGGGGAGATCCCGAGGTGGTTTTTGGGAGTAAGCTGGGATACATTGGAACATTTAGATCTTTCTTGTAACCTTCTTGTGGGAGGCATACAACAATTGCATTGGAAGCGATTGTGGACTATTGACCTATGGAACAATTCCTTCCAAGGGCCACTTCCAATCTCCCTTCACCTTATACCTCTTACTTTGATGCCTCTTACAATGATTTTACTGGTGAGATCCCCTCTTCGATTTGTCAGTTAAGTTCACTTGTGGATTTATATTTGTCTAACAATAATTTCTCGGGGAATCTGCCCCTATGTTTTGGTAATATAACTGATCTTAAGTATCTAGACTTGAGCAGTAATAAATTACAAGGGTCATTACCGTGCTCCCTAGTCAAATGCGTGAACTTATCAATACTAGTTCTCAGTCACAGCAAGTTTAATGATATCTTCCCACATTGGTTGGAAGCACCACAACCGTTTCTCCTTGATTTGCAATCCAACAAATTTCACGGTAGGATCAACCCCACTGCCTTTGAACTCTCATTCCCTGCTCTTGAATATTTATTTATTTCCAACAACAATTTTATGGGATGGTGGCCCGCAAAGGTTTTCTCCAACACCTCATTAGGTCCAACAACAAATTTGGAGGGCCAATTCCACTTCCATCTCTGATCACAAGGTATTATTTCATTGCAAATAATAATATAACAGGAAAGATCCCTTCTTTGATATGCAATGCCACCAATCTCGAGATGATCGACTTGTCTAACAATGATTTAACAGGTAGTTTGCCTCGATGCTTAACAAATTTAGCACCCTTCTCTCAGTTTTGAACTTGCGAATGAACCAACTTCAGGGCACGATTCCACAATCAATTTTTTTTATATATGGATTGACAACTCTTGATTCGAGTCGAAATTAGTTCAAAGGCACATTGCCCCGGTCCCTTGTCAAATGTACATATCTAGAAATTTTGGATCTCAGTGGCAATCAAATAGATGGTATATTCCCAAGATGGTTGGGAAAACTCCCAAAACTAAAAGTTCTTATTTTGAGGTCCAACAATTTTAAGGGTCATTTGAATATTCTGAGGGGAAGTCTCTTCTTTCCCAAGTTACGCATTTTGGATCTCTCCAACAACAACTTTGGTGGTCCTTTACTAGCTAACTTGATAATGAACCTTAAAGGAACGATGAATAGAGAAGATGGGCAAGACGGATCATTGTACATGAAGCAGTCTTTCCAATGGAGATCATATGAAAATTCGGTGACTGTGACGATGAAAAGGCTAGAGATTGAGTTAGTGAAGATCTTGACAGTCTTCACCACCATTGACTTGTCACACAACTCTTTCCAAGGGGATATCCCGGGAGTTATTGGACATCTTCACTCTCTTATAGGGCTCAACCTTTCTCATAACCACCTTACTGGTTCTATCCCTTTGACTGTAGGAAACTTGACTAATCTTGGATGGCTTGATCTTTCTTCAAACATGCTTAGTAGGGTAATTCCCAAAAAAATTGGGAGATTTGGCATCCCTTGGGTACTTAAACCTCTCGAAGAATCAACTCATCGGTTGAATTCCTCAAGACAAGCAATTAAGCACATTTTTAAGCGACTCGTTTAGTGGGAATTCAGGCTTATGTGGAACTCCATTGCCAAAATCATGCCCTAGTGATGCTCAACCTCCTCCACAGTCGTCCTTGTCGACTTTTGACCCCGAAGTGCATGAATGGTTCAAGCAGAAAGTGGTGTGGCTTGGTTATGCATCTGAAATCGTAATTGGGATTTCCATAACATACATGGCATTTGAAATGGGAAGGCCCAAATGGCTCGTGCAAGTTGTGAGAATCTTGAAGAAAAGAGCAGCCGAGTGGATGGAGAAGTCAAAGCGAAAAGCCATCAAATTTCATGGATAATGAAATTGCTGAGTCTTAGTTGTCTCTTTAAACTATGTAATGTAGTTAGACCCAAAAAAAAAACTATGTAATGTAGTTAGACCCAAAAAAAAAACTATGTAACGTAGATTCAATGAATAAAGATGTCACTAGATCGGCTTGAAATGGTATTTCCCTTATGGGGGCTTGTTTTTAATGTTTTATCTTCTTATTTCTTGGGGACAATTGTGTATAAGTTGAATTGAGAAGATGAATAATGAGATCTGTTAAGCACACAACTTTAAGAAGAAAGAAGCAAAAAACAGAAAAATGAAGCAAGTGCCATTAGAAGTGAAGACCGACCTTAACCCATTCAGCCAAAGATATTAATAAATTTATCTGGCATGGAAATTTGTCATGAAGAATCAACACTAAAATCTTTGAGATTACAAGTCAGCTGTAGATTGTGGACCGAAAGTTATTATACATTTGTCAACCATATGGTTATGAACATAGCCATGCAAGTCCTTTAATGATTTTATCGTAGACTTGATTAATATGCTTTCATGAATGTTGACCTTCATGAATGTTGACACCTAAATTTTGGCTATTCATTTATGATTTAATTGCATAGAAAATTAGGGATTAATTCTTAACCCCTAAACAAAAATGATTCTCACTAAATTGCATAACATATAGATATTAGGAGCATTCACACTAATAATAATAGAATTTATTTATTAAAAATATTAAAATATTCGATCCGGTCCGATCCGGCCCTTCCCCACTGCCCCTCATTCGGGCTCTTTCCTCTCCCAGCCCAATCCCTCTTTTCTTTCTTTGGCCCGTTTCTTTCTTTCATTTATTTCGGCCCAGCACCACTTCCCCCTCAGCCTAGCCCCCATTCGGCCTTCCCTTACGCTCGTTGGTACGAGCAAAAGGAACAAAACAATGAAGTAAGAAGCGGCAGAGGCAGAGCAGGTTGTGGCGTGATCCCTGGGTCGGGATCAGGCCGGCCACGGCAGGCTGGCGGCGGCAGAGACCATACGTGCCTGCCGGTCGCTCATTAAAGAGAAGGAGACGAGACGAGACGAGAGGAGGGGGGACGAAGGATTCTTTCTCCGAAAACAACTATTTTTCCTTCCCGATTCTCCTCGATCGTCACTGGAGATCACCGTTCGTCGCTGTTCATCGATGTTCACTGCCATCCCCGCGGGTTTCGCCGTCGCCGCATCATCTCTCGTCGCTCTCGGTTCGGCCGCCGCAAGGAGTGCACCCCGGTCCTCGACCTCAGAGACTCGAAGCGGGGGTTCTTCAAGTCCGAAACCTGTGTTCACCTCCACAAGCTCATACGGGATTCAGAGAGAGCGGGAGACGCCACAATCAGGAGAGACTGAGATTTTGAGAAAAGAAAAGACTTTAAAAAGTTCATTACCGACTCCCCACGGCGTCCCGCAGCATCGTTCATCGTCGCTTCTCGTTGTAGATCGGTCCCGAAAGATGTGCCGGCGACTCCCCTGTTCGACCTTGCCTTTTGGCTGAGTAGTCCAGCAAGCTTTGCGCACGATTGAAGCTCCATCACCGGTCCGTACCCCAGTTGGTGACGAACCTCTTAGCTGTCTCAAGCCACCCGTTCATCGACTGCTATCGGAGCCCTGTTTCGACAAGGTACGAATCTATTCCTTTGTCATGGTTCGCTGAAGATACGAGCAAAAAAGTGTCCAGATATAGTTTCTGTTTGAGCGAAAATAGGATTAGTCTTGATGTTGGACTGACGAGGTTTAATGCGTTTGCACGTTGGCTTTGATTCAGGAGTCTGTCGCCAAGTTGCTTTGAGTATCTAAACACCATTGAGAAATCGCCCACGGTGTGTTTGTTAAAATGCCCAAACCAGGTTAGCATACAGTTTATTCCGATCCTGGACTATTTGGAACACTTATGAGCGTGTTTGTTTTCATGAAAAGAATCTTCCATTGGATAATGAGCACCATTTCAGTTAGAATCTTTGGTTAATGAAATCGAATCTGCACGTTGTCTTTTATATTTGTTTCCCGGTCGTTATTGCGTTTGCTTTGATGGTGGCTGACGGTGGTGTTTAACGATCAGAGGCGATCGATCAACGGTAGGAGGTTCGATGATGGATGCCATGGACCGCGACCATGACTCGGGGTTTCGGCGTGTAGAGCTTTAATGGTGTTTCTGGAACTCATGTTGATTGAGCTTGAGCATTTTCGGTCTGTAGAAAAGATGACTACCGGGCGTGCGGATTGAGTAGAGAAAGTATTGTGCGGGTTTTTGTTTGTTCTTTATTAGTGAGTCCTGGGCTTGAATTGGAGTGATGATTTTTGGGCTTCATTACCTATGGTAGAAATATTGGACTATTGTTTGCTTGGGCTTTACATCGCTTTAAGATGGGTTTGATACAAAAGCCCAATCGTGTCTTCTTTGGCCCAAAAAACGCAGGACCAGATCATAGCCCATGTTCGGACTGGGCCCTAGGGGCCAGCCTGGGTCCCTATTTCGGATTAAATTTAAAAATTATTTTTTATAAATAAAAATATTAAAAATTTCCGAAAAAAGTATTTTTTCTAAAATTAGGAAAAAGCTTGGAAATTGGGTTTTGATTAATTTTCTCTTGAAATATGCGAAAATCTTTGATTAAAAATTTTGCTCCAAATTGAACAAGCTTTAGGGCTTTACAATAAGGTTTTGAATGTTTTTTTGCATACAAGTGTTAGGTCGTTTGTTTGTGCATTTACATTTTGATTACTATTCAATTGCGCACTTTCAATATTATTGTTTCTCTTTAGCCTGGTTAGGAATAGAATCTCAGGATTTATTATTTGCAAGAAGGCTGCTTGAACATTTTTGTTGATGATTGAACAAGATTAGGTACCGAAAGCGCACTAGTTAGGTAACTAGTGTAATCAAGTCCATCTGGCCAAATTTGATCGGAAATTGCTGACGTAGTTTTTCCGGCATTGGGTTTTCCATGTAAAATCTTGGTGTTGTTGTTGCATTTGTCTTTTTATCATTTATGCATTATATTTACTTATTTGGAGGTTGTGTTGCTGAAATATATTGTTGGTTGTTGCTGGGGTTAAGTCGATTTCGGTTGGTTTAGTTTTGGGAAGAAATTGATCTTGGATTGTGTTAGTTCTTGTTGAATTGTTGCCCGATTCTCTCCAACAAAGTGTTATGAGAGCCGACATGAGTAGTTAAATTGAATGGAGGAAAATAGGGGGACAATGTTTAAGTTAAATGCCTCAAATTACTCCATTTGGAAGCCTCGAATGGAAGACATGTTATATCGCAGAGATTTGTATGATCTCGTCAATGGTGATGAGGCTAAAGAAGACAAGGAAGAAAAAGAATGAGAGCAAATAAATAGAGAAACGGTTGGGTTTATTTAACAATGGATGGACGATAGTGTGTTTTATCATGTTACTCAAGAAATGAAAGTGGATACTTTGTGGAAGAAATTACAAGATCTCTACAAAAGGAGAATCCCACAAAATAAAGCTTTTCTAGCTAAAAGACTTGTGAATTTGAAATATAAGGAGGGAAGTAGCATGTTAGAACACTTGAGTGAATTTCAAGATTTGGTAAATCAATTGACAAATCTTGAGATTGACCTTGGTGATGAGTTGTAATCATGTTTATTGCTTGGTACTCTCCTTGATAGTTGGGGTACCTTTGTCATTGCATTGAACAATTCTGCTCCTTCGGGTGTGCTTTCCATAAGCATGGTTAAAGAAAACCTATTTAATGAAGAAATTAGGAGAAAAAGCTTGATTTATGTTTCTAATTAGAGGCTTTTGTTATAGAAAACATGACGAGAAGTTAAACAAGAAAGTTTAAGAGTAATGATAACAGAGGTAAGCTAAGAGGAAGGTCAAAATTAAGGCCGATGAGGAGTGAGAAATATTATAATTGTGGCAAGATGAGACATCATGCAAAAGAATACTGGTTACCAAAGAGAGATAAATGCCATGATAGAAATGGAGATCAAAAGAAAGAAGAGAAACAAGTTACAGCGGAAGTTGCATTCGATGGCGATATTATGTTCATCTGTGACGATACTTGTGTAAACCTTACATACCTAGACTCTAGCTAGGTTGTTGATTTTGTAGCTTCATTTCATGTCACCTCACGGCATGACTACTTTGCATCCTATCGCACTAGTGATTTTGGTTGTGTTATGATGGAAAACAGTGATGTTTCTAAGGTTATTGTCACGAGAGATGCATATTTGGAGACCGATGTTGCATGTAATTTGCTTCTAAAAAATGTGAGATATGTCTCGGACATTCGACTTCACTTAATCGGCACAGGTGCCATAGATGATAATGGTTACTGCAATTCCTTCAGTGATAGCAATTAGAAATTGACTAAAGGTTCCATGATATTTTTGGCTAAGGGAAAAAAGACCTACACTCTCTACATCGTGCAGGCTAGGTTGATCAAGGAAGAGGTAAATGTAGTGGATGACTCATTAGTTGACCTATGGCATATGGGACTTGGTAATCACAGCAAGAACAGGCTTGAAACTCTTGCTAAAAAGAACCTTCTACCATTGAAGAAGAGAAATATGAAGGAATATAATCACTGCCTAATAGGTAAGCGACATAGACTCTCATTTGATAGTTCCTCTCCACACACAAAATCAGATGTATTTGATTTAGTTTACATTGATGTTTATTGCATGGATGCTAGAACCTTTGGTGGAACATTATACTTTAAGACATTTATTGATGACTGCTCTAAAAAAGTGTGGCATATTGCTTTGAAATCTAAAGACTAGGTGCTTGTTGCTTTCAAACAATTTCATGTTAACGTGAAAAGAGAAATCGGGAAGAAGAAAAAATGTGTTCGAGTTGACAACGGTGATGAATATAGATGCCCATTTGAACATTATTGCTGAAATTATGGTATCAAGCTCGAGAAGATTGTTTTGAAAACAACACAACATAATCGAGTAGCGGAGAGAATGAACTAGATAATTAATGATCGGATTCGGTGTATGCTCTCTCATGCAAGCTTGCCTAAATCCTTATGGGATGAAACTATGAGAACAATAATGGACTTGATAAACCTTTCTCCATCAGTTCTTCTTAAGGGGGATGTTTCGTAAAGAGTTTGGAGTAGGAAAGATGTTTCATACAATCATCTGAAAGTGTTCGGTTGTCGGGCGTTCATGCATGTTCCAAGAGATGAAAGGTCCAAGCTTGATGATAAGTCTAAGTAGTGTATCTTCTTGGATTATAGACATGAAGAGTTTGGCTATAGGTTATGGGATCCTGCTGCAAAAAGTGTCATTAGAAGCCAAGATGTGGTGTTTTTTGAGCATCAAACCATTGAAGACATCGAAAAGCCAGGGAGGCCAAAGAATGTAGCTCAACATTTTGTTAGTTTCAGTCCAAATTCTCCAACTGTATTGGGTAGAAATCACGGGGAGAAGTGCATATTTTTCGATTGATTGTATATATGCGTGATCGATTATGATCACCTGGTAAAGTATATGAAAAAATGGGAAAAGTACTAAAAAAGTTATAAACCCATTGCATTAATACCGATTCAGTTTTAATATTTGCTTTCACTGCTATTGTAAGTAAGCAATAACCTAAATCACCATGGATAGTTACTTGTCCCCTGTGAATATGCTAAATTTATGTATTTGCTCTCACTGCTATTGTAAGTAAGTTATAACCTAAATCACCATGGATAGTTACTTGTCCCCTAGTCATATGCTAAATTTTTGTATTTGCTCCCACTGCTATTGTGAGTAAGCTATAACCTAAATCACCATGGATAGTTACTTGTCCTCTTAGTTTAATGGGCACACAGAGATTCATATGCTAAATTTCTTTATTTGCTCCCACTGCTATTGTAAGTAAGTTATAACCTAAATCACCATGGATAGTTACTTGTCCCCTAGTCATATGCTAAATTTTTGTATTTGCTCCCACTGCTATTGTAAGTAAGCTATAACCTAAATCACCATGGATAGTTACTTGTCCTCTTAGTTTAACGGGCACATAGAGATTCATATGCTAAATTTCTTTATTTGCTCCCACTACTATTGTAAGTAAGCTATAACCTAAATCACCATGACTAATTACTTGTCCTGTTAGTTTACTATGCACACAGAGATACATATGCTAAATTTCTTTATTTGCTCCCACTGCTATTGTAAGTAAGCTAACCTACATTACCATGGATAATTGCTTGTCCTGTTAGTTTACCAGGCACACAGAGAGTTGGCGAGGGCAGCTCTCATTCAAGTAGAAAAGCTCACCTCTAAGCCCTTGTGGCTCAAGCCTGCTCCTCTTCCTCTTCTTCCTCCAATAGAAGGTCGTGAAGATGCACAGAGCCACAAGAAGCACGCCACCGATGCCATTCGCCACCAGTGTCCCCAATCCCCCGTTCAGAGGATTCGCGGGAGCAGTCTTCCCCTAGAAGAAAGCCTTGGTGATCAATGTACTTGCCGGTTGGGCAGGCGTAGTATTGGTGACGCCATTGGCCGCTGCCGGAGCGGAAGCCATCAGAGACGATGGCATCGGAGGCATGTTTTCTATTTCTGGGGAAAAGTTGGGTTTGGTTCGGTTTGGTCGATTCGAGCTCGAGTCCGGGCTAGAGCTACCGAGGTCAGGGACATGAAAATTTAAAGGGGGACCGAATAGTCACCACTCGCTGACTCCTCTGGCACTCTTCCTTCCGTCCCTCCCCTCCTCTAGAACATTTTGTTAGTTTCAGCCCAAATTCTCCTACCGTATTGGGTGGAAATCTCGGGGGAGAAGTCCATGGAAAAAATGAAGACGGTGAATCCTCACAAAATATTGATTCTTCAGCTGAGATAGGGGAAATAATTGATCTAAAACAATTAGTTGAGTAGGAACAGTCCGTTGAGGCAGTAGAGCTAGTTGAGTAAGAACAATTGGTCCTACCTCAAGTTAGAAGATTTGAAAAAGAATGTAGACCTTCACAAAAATATCAACCGCACGAGTATGTGTTGCTCACTGATGCAGGAGGGTCAAAAACTTATAAAGAAGTTATGTCATGTGATCAAAAGAATGAGTGACAGGAAGCTATGCAAGAGGAGCTCAAATCCTTGCATGAGAACCACACATTTAAATTGGTGAAGTTGCCTAAGGGCAAGATAACACTAAAAAATAAATGGGTGTACAAGTTAAAGACGGAAGAAAATAGTTTGCAACCATGATACAATGCTACGCTTGTTGTGAAGGACTTTCGTCAAAAGGAAGGAATTGACTTTGAAGAGTTTTTCACCGGTTGTAAAATGCCTTCTATTCGAGTTGTTCTCGGGTTGGCCGCCATCTTGGATTTAGAAATTGAATAACTTGATGTAAAGACAACATTTCTTCATGGAGACTTAGAAGAATAAATATATATGGAGCAACCATAGGGTTTTGAAACTGAAGGCAAGGAGCATCTTGTATGTAGGTTAAGGAAAAGATTATATGCTCTCTAACAAGAGCCAAAACAGTGGTACATGAAGTTTAATTGATTCATGGAAGATCATGGATATAGTAAGACTAACTCTAATTCTCATGCCTTTATGAAAAGATTCTCATATAATGATTTTCTTATCTCCCTACTCTATGTGGATGACATGTTGATAATAAGGCATGATGCTAAGAAAATCAAGAGCTTAAAACATGAATTGAGTAAAACTTTTGCAATCAAGGATCTGGGATTGGCTACGTAAATCCATGGCATGAGAATTACTCGTGATAAAAAGAACATAAAAGTTTGGCTCTCTCAAGAGAAGTACATTAAAAAGGTGCTGGAAAGATTTAACATGAACATATGTAAACCGGTAAGTACTCTACTTTCTAGTCATTTCAAGTTGAGTAGTAACGAGTGTCCTTCAAGTGAGAAAGAGGATGAAGTGATGATGAAAATTTCATATGCATCAGCCGTAGGTAGGTTGATGTATGCCATGGTTTGTACAAGATCAGATATTGCTCATGTAGTTAGTGTTACGAGCATGTTTCTCTCAAATCCAAGCAAAGAACATTGGACCACTGTGAAATGGGTTTTGAGGTATCTCAGAGGCACTTCCAGATTCTGCTTGTATTATGAAAACGAAAAACCTAAGTTGAGTGGCTATTCAAATGCAGATTATGACAATGACATTGACTCTCAAAAGTCTACATCAGGTTCATGATAACTTTTGTAAGGGGAGAAGTTTCGTGGCAATCAAGATTGCAAAAATGTATTACTTTATCTACGACTGAAGCAGAGTATAACGTTATCACCGAAGGAGGAAATGAGCTCTTGTGAATGCATAAATTCCTATAAGAAATGGGCTTAAAGTAAGAGAAGTTTGTTTTGTATTGTAATAGCATGA